AGGACAAAATTAAAAAAATATATCACTAATAATTTCAAGAACCATTTTCAAGGAAAATCACAACTTAAGAAAGAAAAAACAATCAAAAGACACCAACACCCAGAAGACTCACATGTTGGAATTAACAAGGATTTTTAAAAAGCCATCTTAAAAATGCTTCCCCAAGCAATTATTAATGTTCTTTAAACAAATGAAAAGAGTTTAAAAATCTCAGGAGAAAAGAAGATATAAAGTATCAAAAGGAATTTTAGAACTGAAAAACACAATGATACAATAACTGAAATAAAATGTGCTCAATATCAGAGTGGGGATGACAGGGAAACTGTTGGCGAACCAGAGACAGACCAATAGAAATCACCCAACCAGAACATCAGAGAAAATTAAAAAAACAAACAAAAAATGAACAGAATTTACCAAAAAAAAAAAAAAAAATGAACAGAGCCTCGGAGACCTGTAGAACAATAAACAAAAGATCTAACATTTATGTTATCGGAATCCCAGGAGAAAAATTTGAAATTAAAAAAATTTTTAAAATAATAATGACAGAAAATTCCCTCATTACCTACAGGGAACAATGATTTGAACAACAGACTTCTCACTTGAAACCATAGAGGCCAGGAGGAAGTGGCCTAACACTTTTTTATGTGTTGAAAGAACTGCCAACCCAGAACTCTACATCTAGTGAAAATACCCATCATGAAAGAAAAGGAAATAACAACATTTTCAGAAAACTAAGATAGTTACCAGCAGACCTACCCTTAAAAAAATGGCCAATTTCTCCAAACAAAAGGAAATACAAGGAGGCTTGGAGTTGAGTAAAAATATGAGGCAAAGCAATTAACAATCAACTCATATAAAAACAAATATAAATGGCTCCTAAGGAGATGATAACATCAAATACCTTAGAGAAATGCTCATTTAAACCAGCTTTAAAAACAACAGCAACAACAACAACCAACCCTGTAATTAGGCTGGCAAAGATTAAAGAGTTTGATATTATGTGGCTCTGCAAAGGGCATAGGGAAATTAACTTTCCTATATTCTAGTGGCAATGCCTACCAACATTACAAATGCATAACCCCTATAATCTGTTAATTCTATTTCTAGGAATTTATATTATCAACATTCACATACACGTAGAATGGTATACAAAATTTGAGAATGGGAACTGATCGGCAGAAACGGAAAAAAGACTTTTCACTGACTATCCTTTTATGCTTTCTAAATGTTGAACAAAATCAATGTATTAAATTTTAAAACTCCCAAGTCTGACAACAATTGTTGTCACCCCGTTCTCCAAAAAACCCTACTTCCTGCCTAACCACTTAAAATCTATTTCAAAGTATCATTTATAAGCATATAGCCATCCTTAAGATAAAAGAACAACACTTTTTAACTCTTGGGCCACTTCTGGTTAGTTTATTTTAGATTATTTAGATTATGCAGTTTGCTTATCAATCACTATGTAAAAGAAATTCCCAACCCTGTTCACTGACCTTTGTTGGGAGGGGAGGTAGGATATGGTGTAATACTACTGGGTACTGACTTTACTAGTATGTTGTTAAGGTGAAAAAACAAACTTCTAGAACATTTTACTTGTAAAAACATATGGTAAGAAAATGCTGCTTTACTAGTTTTTTGAGAGGTGTAAATTTTATGCCAATGAATTTCACGTGAAGCCTTTATATTGAAGGAAATTTCAAGGCCATCATCAAAATAAGGTTTGAAATAAAGAAGAGAACTATACCTCAAATGAACCTCTTTTCACTTCAAAAATACTGGGTCTCCCCTCTAAACAGATTCGAAGTTTAACATCCCACTATTCTCCATTAAAAGTGCTATCACCATGGCTCTTAATTCCAGGATAAAGACACTGAAATGGGATCCTGTCACCATACAAATGAGTGTCTGATTTTTTCTACTGTATCCTGAGTACAAGATTCACCAACTGCTTCCTCTGTTGTGCTCTTCTTTCTGTACTGCCAGGTAATCTGTTTTCTACCACATATATACAAGATTTCTGCTCATATAACTATTTATTTATTGCCATGCTGCCATAACTCAGCACTTGTGTTTCTATGTACTCTGTAATATATCATCAGCCCCAACTCATGCTGCATAGCAAAGGTGGACAGACCTCTCTTTAACAACTGCAGGAAACTCTGAAGAGACCAGCATGATCTGAGATCATGGTAACTCTTGAAAAGCCAGGAAGTACCTTAATCAGGGTAGTGGTCTGTGTTCTATCCTACACTCTGCCCCTTGATAGCCTCTACAGGGTTGCAGTTTTGATTAGCCTCCTGTGTTCTCCTCTGCATCTGTTGGAAGGATCTTCCCCTCGACTCTGAACCTTCTCAGGCACATTCAAATAGCCACAAAAAGTAGAATTTCCAATCTCACAACAGCAAAAGGAAGGCCCAGGATGATTGCCCAGACTCACCAAGACCACTTACAGGTGGGCCCAGACAGTCATATTTCTTCAGAAGTCTTTTTGTTTTCTTTCAGGAAGTTAGAAAAAGAAAAAAAAAAGATTCGGTATTTATTTTTAAAGTGGGGAGTGTATCTCTCAAACAAGGTTTTAAATATGATGATGATGATGAACACCGCTGTGTTACACAAAGCTTTTTGACTATGTCCAATTTAAGACTGTAAGAAGGCCATCAAACTTATAAATTGGATGGAAGACTCAGCTCTGCCTAAAAAAAAAAAGATTTTATTGATGCTTGACAAAATCCATTCTGACCAATGTTCTGAATGGTAACTGAAGGACTGTAGAGTAACAGGTGCCAAACTGTGTGACCTCAAACATAAAGATCTTTTCCTCTTTCTATAGTGTGATCCAGAACAGAGCAGGCATGGAAGGTACGACTCAAAACAAATCTGGCCTTTCGGTAACTCCTGTGCAGACAGTAACAAAGGGCCAAATCTTCCCCAACTGATGAAACTGATAAGGGCAAGATATACTTCCTTAGCATGAGTCTGAGGAACACACACTAGAACACTACATCAACTTTCAGCACAACTTCCTGGCCACAATGGCATGGGCAAAATTAGCATTTATTGCTTCAAGTGAAAATATATTATAAAAACATAATAATATACAGAGAGTGACATTCATTCACCTTCTCATCCTTTCAGCAAATATTCATACACTGACCATTTAGTACCAAAAGAATCTTTACACCATATTTATTAGAGTCTATGATAACATTTATGGTTTAAGATGTAAGCTTTTTAATTATCTCTTCTAAATATGTAAACCACACAGCATCCTTAACTTTTATAAGCAGAGAATAGATCCTAACACAAGATCCTTGAAGACGATAAAACACAAGAAAAAAGCCAAAAAACAGTTAAGTACAGAATAAAAGATGAATACTTTCTAGATGATGTGGGAAGAAATAATATCTTAAACCAAAATATTCCAATTGTACTGACAACACTTTGAAGAATTAAATAGCAGAAGATTCAGGGTCTAAAATATGCAAAGATTTAGATTGCTTTTTAGTTTCTATTTTTTCAAAAAAAGGTAAGATACTCAACGACACTTCATTCTTTCTGAATCATCACGAACACAAGGCATACATTATAACTGCTGTTTGTAAATAAGAATAGATAGCCAGACTCTTGAACACAAGAAGTTAAACAGTCCCAGTATGAGCTGCAGCAATATTCCTGTGATGGTTTAGAAGGTATATATTTGACATAAAAGAGAAGAAAGTGAAATCATTAGAATCAAAGTGGAATGCAGAGAAAGAAAATTAAAAATAAGCCTTCTCCAGGGAATTCCCTGGAGGTCCAGTGTTTAGGACTCGGCACTTTCACTGCTGTGGGTCCTGGTTCAATCCCTGATTGGGGAACTAAAGAAAAGCAAAATAAAACGTGCATATTACAGAGCACATCAGTATACCTAAAATTTGAGAACAGAATGTTCTACTTAGGGCAATTCTGAAAGGAATATTAAAGACTTTAATGAGTTAGCAACATGTAACAGAAAAAGCTCTCAAACATGCCAGATGCTTCTGAATCTAAGCAGTGCATGAAGGGGAAATAATTTATTCCCGTGAAGTTTATTAGTCTATGTTAATCTCTTCAACTGTCATCCTCCCCACACCATCTCTTTCCCTAGAAGAATATTTATTTACCATGCTATTTAGACAGCTACACTTTTTTTTTTTTTTTTTTTTTGCGGTACGCGGGCCTCTCACTGTTGTGGCCTCTCCCGTTGCGGAGCACAGGCTCCGGACGCGCAGGCTCAGTGGCCATGGCTCACGGGCCCAGCCGCTCTGCGGCATGCGGGATCTTCCCGGAGCGGGGCATGAACCCGTGTCCCCTGCATCGGCAGGCGGACCCTCAACCACTGCGCCACCAGGCAAGCCCTAGACAACTATACTTTTTAAAAAGCCCAAAAAATAAAGTGGAAGCAAATGGATGAATTACTGCAAATAATTCAAGGAAAGTTAAGCAGTTCCATGATAAATGAACAAAGTATGAAGTAAGATAAAACACATTTGAAAAACACAAAAATACATTTAAAAACACAAAAACTTCATATTTATATTCACTTTAGCGTAAAGATCGTGTCAACTAATTACAGTGTGTTTGTTTTGTGTGCGTAAGAGTTATCAGAAATATATACTTGCTTTTAGGGACTTCCCTGGTATCACAGTGCTTAAGAATCTGCCTGCCAATGCAGGAGACACGGGTTCGAGCCCTGGTCCGGGAAGATCCCACATGCCGCAGAGCAACTAAGCCTATGCACCACAACTACTAAGCCTGCGCTCTAGAGCCTGTGAGCCACAACTACTGAAGCCTGTGCGCCTAGAGCCCGTTCCGCAACAAGAGGAGCCACCGCAATGAGAGGCCCACGCAACCCAACGAAGAGTAGCCCCTGCTAGCTGCAACTAGAGAAAGCCCACACAGCAACAAAGATGCAACACAGCCAAATAAATAAATAAACAAACAGATTTTAAGAAAGAGAAATATATACTTGTTTTTACCTTTAGATTTGGGAATTAGCTCTCCACAACTGAGTATCCGCACCTCAGCAAATGGTTTGCTAGCTGCATCTGTTTTCTGGTTTTCTATCTCTCTCACAACTTCTTGACCAGAAATCACTTGCCCAAAAACAACATGATGCCTAAAGAGTCAAGTAAAGATGACTAAATAAAAGCTTCTTATTTTAATATTAATTTAAAGTAGGTTGTAAAATAAATTAAAATAATCTTTACCCATCTAAATGAGGAGTTGGTTTTGTTGTTCTTTTGGAAGTCATCAGATAGAAGAATAAAAACAAAGTCAGAGAAAAACAAAGTTAGCATCTCTAAAAAGGAAAAGAAAATAACTGCATTGGAAACAAAGTAGCAAACAAAGAAATCATATATATGCTATCTTAACATAACAGAATCTTATTTACCTTAACCTTAAATAGAATCAAATGCAAGATGCTTTCGACAATGCATTTTCAAAAACTTGTTCTGAAATACCTATACACTGTTGAAAACTTACATGAAATTAAAGTTCACATTTTGGTGTTACTTCTATCCATCCATGTTTCCTGCATGTAACTGGGTTCTTATTGAATATCCACGGTTGTACAGTATTCTACTGTCTGGGCATATCATAATTTAGCAAACCATTTCACCAGTTTATGGGTTTAACAACAGTGTTTTTCAATCTTAACATTTTCAACAGTTAAAGCCCAGGTCATATTCAGATGTCCTCATACATGTTCTGTTGGACCTGAACAGAAATGGTCCATGTAGTGTTTATAAATTTTTAAATTAGCTGCCAAGACTTAAAAATTTGGATACTTCTACATAAAAATCCAGATTCAAAAAAAAAAAAAAAATCCAGATTCCAGACCTTTTTGAAAACATGGAAAGACATGGCACCTGGCATGTGGCAATAACTGGTCAGGCTGAGTATCCCTGCCTTCTCTAATACAGAGATTAATCATTACGTTTCTTGTCCCAGCAGCCTTTACTCCCTTATATTACTTGCCTAAGACCTATGGGTATTTTGAGTTTGTTATCCCTAACATAAAGTAAATTTCACATTTAAGAAAGATATCTGCATTAAAATTTGGACAAAACCTAAAATTAGCAAAAAGGAATTTTTAAAAGTCCTTCTTTTCTCCACATCAACCTTAAAGCTTTGTAGCTAAGAAAGCTGCTATCTGAGTAGCTATGAAGACACACTGGTACAACAGACTGAATATGGGCATTGTACAAGATTTGTCATTTTAAAAATCTTATCAAAAAAGGCATTAGAAATTCGGAAGAAGGAACACAATTTAAGCTAACTTTTGATTAAAACACACACTAAAAAAAATTCTAACACATACATGTATTTTTAAAAGTTCACCGTATTTTAAAAACTAATAACCTGTTATTGTTTTCTCACTGTAACAGCTATGATCACCTGAACTTGCTAAAACCACCTAGAAATGTAAAAACCTAGGTATACACTATATATGTATTTGTGTTACATTTAGTGTATATAATTTGCATCAAGATACAGTCAATCCTCACTTTACAGATTACGTATTTGTCCACTGGCTTGCTCGCGAGAATTTATTTGTAACCCCTAAACCAATACTTGCATTGCTTTCATGGTCACTCTCAGATTGGTGAAAAAGTGTTGATAAGAATGGAAAAACTAGAACTCTTTGTATAATGCTGGTGGGAATGTGAAATGATGTAGCCATTGTGGAAAACAGTTTGGTGGTTCTTCAAAGAGCTAACCATAGAACTACCATATGATCCAGAAATTCTATTCCTAGGTATCTATCCAAAAGAACTGAAAACAGGGAAACAAATATATATGACAATGTTCACTGCAGCATTATTCACAATAGCCAAAAAGTGAAAACAACCCAAATGCCCACTAACAAATGAATATGGATAAACAAAATGTGGTATGTATATATAATGGAATGATATTCAATCATAAAAAGGAATGAAGTTCTGATACATGCTATAAAACATGGATGAACCTTGAAAACATGCTAAGTGAAATAAGTTAGACACAAAAGGACAAATATTGTATGATTCCACTTGCATATATAGAATAGGCAAATTCATAGAGACAGAAAGTAGAATAAAGGTTACCAGGGGCTGAGGGAAAGGGAAAATGGCTACTCTCTGGAATGATGAAATAGTTTTGGAAATAGTGGTGGTAGCTGCAGAGCATTGTGAATATAATTAATACCAGTGAGGTATGCAGTTAACAAATGGTTAAAATGGCAAATTTTATATTATATAATTAATATAAAACAATAAAATAAAACATTTAAAAAAAGATTAAAAACTGAAGTTGTTTCCTTTAAAAAAACAGAACACAGAAGTAGTAAAGAATAGTTATCTAAAAGTGGAAAGAGGTCAGGAGAAACCAACAATTGGAAGAGTCTGAGAATATACATGAAGGGTTATTTGAATTTAACATATGGGTTTTGGTAAGCACAGGAGGGATTTTATTTTAAAAAGTGAAAATAAATGATAACACTCAGTGTTGCTGAGGATCTGGTGAAACTGGCACTTACATACTGTTGCTCTAGAGTAAACTACACACTTCCTTTTGGAAGTCAATGTAGCAATATATATGGATAGCCTTAAAAATATGTAAGCATTTCACTAAGTAAACTTCTAACAACTTACATAAAAGAATTAAAAAATACATCAAACAATAGACACAACAATGTTCACTGTAGCAGTTTGAAAACAAGAAGCAAACCAAATGTTCAAAACTAAGATTAAATAAATAAAACCACAGTACATTCAAACAATGGATTAACATGTTAATTCATATTTAGTGATGTACAAAGAAATTTATATTACATCCAAAAGTTGATTACAGACTATATGCAACTATCTACCTGTATTTTTATTGCATGTAAAGATGCTCTGGGGATAGGATTGTTTTTCTTCTTTTAATCTGTGTGTTCTAATTTTCCTACAACAAATGTGATATAAGTTGTTTTCATTTAAAAAATCAGAAACACCTGTATATAGGCAATTGGCTGAATAAACTGCAGTATATACACACAACAGACTACTATACATCTGTGGGGAAAAAAAAATGAGAAAGATCTCTATGAACTGATATGCAGTGATTTCTATGTTATATCATTAAGTGAAAAGAAAAAAACATATACAGTATGCTATCTATTGTGTAAGAAAAAAGGGAAAATAAGAAAAAAATATACATCTGTGCTTATGTTTGTAAAAAGATATACAGAAAAATAAACCAGAAACTAATGAGGTTGGTTACTAATATGGATAGGTGGTGGGAAAAAAAAAGGTAAAAAAAATGGGGGAATGGGAATGGAATGAAGAGTTAGGTGCGAGTGATACTTCAGAAGTATTCTCTTTGCTTTGACTCTTGGAATCATGTTAATGTTTTAAAAGCTTAAAACAAAAAGGCAAGAAATAAATCAACCTGAGAGGGAGAACAAATGAAATATAATCGGAAATGAATTTAACATATTTTGAGTCACAAAACCACACAAAATTTACACTAAAAAGTACTAATCCAGGTCATTTTTAAACATGATAATTTAACTACATACCCTCACTGTAAAAACAAAAATTGCTATAAATAAATAGTGAACTCTAGTTAGTAGGTTACTCTTCACAGTGGTATAGGATGGCAATTTTTAAATATAGGATTCAACAAATGAGTAGAAATTTTGAACACACTCGGAGGGAGATTTCTCACTGTTGAAGAAGGGAGTTACAAATGTGGAACAGAAAACACAATAATCCACATGATGCTGACAGATTAAGTTCTTCTGAGACCAGAAGAGTTATTGAAGAGTTATTGAAGAGGAGAGCAAATCTTTACCCATGGGACATGATAAAAAGTATGAATTGCTGACAAGAGCCCTGGTAACAATTTTTTTGTAGTCAGAATTGGAAAACATTAGCACTATTGACTTTGGGTTACAAATAAATTTAGTGAGTAGGCAAATTCACAAATACAGAATCTTTGAATGAGGAACAACTGTATTTTACTCTTTATAATTAAGTAATTTACGAAGAGATACTCAATGCAAACATCCTGTTCCTTGTTAAACTTACCCTATAAATTTACCATCCATAGGTAATTCTTTCCTGAATCAATGTTACTGAGATGACTGCAAAACAGGGACATTTCTAACTCTATAATTCCTTTTACATTTATTAGTTGCATTCTACTAAGGAACAGTTTTTCTTTCTCCCTTGTTATTTATTCATTTATTATTTATATCTGAATGGACTCCTGGATTTCCATTTTATTTGATAATATGATACCATCATTATTTATTTTCAAGATAATCAATGCTCAACTTGTCCTAATTTGGCCAGGCGGAATGCCACCCCTTCAAGCTGGCTCCTGAGTCCTCTTGACAAAAGTCTTCATCTTTTGAAAACTTTAGCAGTACAGTTCAACTCCCCTTTCAACAATTCTTTGTTCTTCCTCCTTCAAAAATTCTCTCCCTCATACGTCCCTCTCCTATTTATTAGTGATCAGTGGCAGGCACACAGAGAAACGACACACCAAAAACGTGATATTTTAAATCATCAGATCATTAATTCTTACATGAAGAACTGTGAGCCATTTGTATCCTTCCCTCTGTTGGCCATTGACAAGAGAAATTCTTTGTTGTGTTTAACAGCAAAACTCTCATCTATAGAGAAGCAAAGTTTTCAGTTATAGGTATAACTCCCCCCCAAAATTCATTTTCATTCCTCTTCATATCTTGTGTTCATATCATGTGCTCTTTAGTGTCAGACAAAATTTAGATAAAAGGTTAAAAGAAGAGAAATCCAATATTAACCAATTTCCTCCATCTTTTCAGATTAAAATATTTCTAATTTTCAATCCCTTGCTATAAAATAGAAATACTTTATCAACCCCCTTTCAATATTATTCTTAGCACAGAGAGGTACTCATTAAACTTAATATCTGCCATGATAGAAAGAGCAGATTGCCTTCGAATCTTGGATTAGAATTGGAAAAAAGCAGGTGGAACGTGAAAAAAAATTTCACTGACTCCCAAAAGTGAAAGATGGGAAATATGAAATTAATTCCACAATCACATGTTTATAGTCTTTCAAATGATCTTCACATTAATAAAAAATTCCAGACAGAAAACTTAAATTTGGGAAAACCATTACAGCCAAATTCAGAATATCAAAGATTAAAAAAAAATCTTCACAGAAAAATGGATGCACAAAAATGTTGATATTGTCACTACGAAATATAGCTGAATCTCTTTTAATAAAGATTAGGATCAAGCTATGGAAGTTCCTATTCTAGCACTACAATTCTAAAAGTTTATTACAGATCACTGAAACCCTTCAAGTAATATAATGTACGAATGTACTAATTACAAAAAAATCCTACCTTTATAAAAACTCTATCACATAAAATTTTTCACAAGAAAATTAACTTCGTTTAGTTGAAGGTAGTTGGATATTAGTATATCAATAATCTTATTGATTCAAGAGAGAAAAATCAATGAATACTAGAAAACATTAAAAACAATTTAAACAAACGTTTTTACCTTCAAAAAATCCTCCATAAATGGATTCCCCTCCTCGTCCATTTCCTAAGAATGAAAAAACATGGGACTGTTAGAACTGATAAGTCAGCAATCTCCTTGAAGGTCCTACCTAAACACAATGCTTCTTACAAAGTAGGTACTTGAATGACTTTGAATCAAGAATACTCAAACGTTCACAGCAAATTGTAAGACCTTAACTTAAAGTCAATACTGACAAGACCCCAAATTACTTTCTCTCCTCTATGATACAACAGTATGAGTGTAACAAAGTTTATTAAGATCTGTAGAAGAAAGAATGTTCAGATCCTAATGATTATGTAGGTCTTTTAACAGAAATTACTAGTAGCTTCTCAAAGTGTCTTTAAAAACAGTTTCAATGTTTTTACAATAATAGAGGTAAAAACCATACTGTAGTAAAGGATTACTGGCTGTGACAAAATCAAACATGAACACTGATAGGCTACTAAGAGATGCATAGTGTTTTGTTTTTAATCCAGAAGCAAATTTCTGAAATTCATATATCAAACATGAAATTTTTTCCTATGTGTTTCCTCCTTTTTATCTATTTCTATGAGTACTTCTAATTTTTTTTTTTTTGGCCACGCCAGGCAGCTTGCAGGATCTCAGTTCCCCAACCAGAGATTGAACCCAGGCCCTCGGCAGTGAAAGCTCCGTGTCCCAACCACTGGACCACCAGGGAATTCCCAGTACTTCTAATTGTTTGACCAAAGATTAAGTGGGCTGAGAAGAAAACTGGCCTAGTACTTCTAGAGACTTGTCTAACTTTGAGATTCATGTATTTAACAAAGAATATAAATATATGATTTTCTTTGTGGGAATCAAAGTCTTACCTTCACTGAAGTCACCACCTTGAACCATAAAATCTTTGACAACTCTGTGAAAGAGACAACTTTTATAATGTAATGGCTTCTGAGTTGATTTCCCTGTCCCCTTTTCACCTACAAGGAAGAAAAATTAGTAGGCTGTTAAGTAGAAAAGAAATTAAGGAAGTAGTATTAAAGCAAAATTCATGATGAAATCACAAGAAAAAAATTTTTCACTACTTCTTTAATTTTGTATCTATATGAGATTACGGATGTTCACTAAACTTTCTGTGATAATCACTTTATGATGCAAATAAATCAAATCATTATGCTGTACACCTTAAACTTATACAGCAGTTTATGTCAATTACATCAATAAAACTAGAAGAAAAATTTAAATAAAATAAATAAAACATTTAAAAGTTAAAAAAAAATTAATGATGAAAGCTTTTGCCCAGTAAAATACACCTCTCTTGACCTATACAGACTTCTTTAAATTACAGAATTTTAACTTTCCTCAGGAATTTTTAAAAAATTCATTTAAAAAGCACCCATGCTTTTCTACTGAGTGTAGAAATCAATCTCAGATACAATCCCATTACAATTAATATGTATAAGAATTACTTTCATGTCTAGTAAATGTTGCATCATCAGCATGCTGAGAAGGAAATAATATGCCTGAAAAAATCTAAAACATGTTAAATTAAAAATCAAAGCAAACTGAAATCAAATGGGACTACTATTAGGGCAAGTGAAAATGTCAACAAACCTGTACAAAGACAACGAAAGTTCTCGCATGTTTTGGGGCACACATCAGAAAATAATTCAAAGACAACTCTTCCAGCTAAAAAAGAAGGTAGTTGGTTTAAATTTCTTTACTAACTTAAAATATTAAGTACTTACATATAAATGTTAAATAGGGACATTAATTTCCTTACCAGGTTGATTATTAATGGCGATGTCAAAAAAACATCGAGGACGCTGAACCTTTATTCCCATGGCTTCAGTACTTCAATCTATGAGTAAAATACAGTTTCAGGCAAACAGACGAAAACAGCAAAGATTTTTCATACATTTCTGAAAACAAAACAAAACTGTGGAGCATAAATGAAAAATGTAGTCTGAATTTATTTTATTATTTATTTCCATGACATAAATCACATGAATTATTCTTTTCTTTGAGAGATTAGATTGCATCTTGTGAGGCAATCAGAAAAGACATTATAGGTCTAGCCATTATATAACACAATTTCTATTTTAACAACCAAATATAGATTGCCACCTCAAACAGAAAATTGTATTAAGTCTGTATGATTAGTGAACTAAGCAGGCAGATTACCTTTAAATAGAGAAAAATCAAGGACAAGCTGATCCAATCTTTTTGCGCCTAGAAAACAAAATAAATTTTGATTAAAATGGTGGACTTTTTAAAAGAAAAACATTCAAATTCCCCAAAAATGCCAAAAATAATTCCCCAAGGAAGAAAGAAAGTGGGATACTTTAGTAATAGTAACATATGGTAGATTTACATTCTGAGTAAAAATATATTACATTTTACATATAAAGCTATTTTTTGATCAGAAACAATAGCCTTTACTGATACACTAGTGTAGACACAAAAAATATCAGTAAGTGAGATACTCTATGTAAGTTTTATCTACATAACAGATGGCTATTAGTTAAGACATTCTTTTTTTTTTTTTTTGCGGTACATGGGCCTCTCACTGTTGTGGCCTCTCCCGTTGCGGAGCACAGGCTCCGGACGCGCAGGCTCAGTGGCCATGGCTCACAGGCCCAGTCGCTCTGCGGCATGTGGGATCTTCCCGGACCAGGGCACGAACCCGTGTCCCCTGCATCGGCAGGCGGACTCTCAATCACTGCGCCACCAGGGAAGCCCCAAGACATTCTTTTGATAGGCGTTTATTTTAAGGACTTAGAATGTTTGAATTGTAATACTTGGTGGAGAATGACAGGGTAAGGTGAAAAGCAGAAGAAACAAAATAGCATCCAAAATGGCGCACTATAAAAATAACAGTTTCATCTGTTTAGAACAGAGACTAACTGAAATGTTTATGCGTTTCTGAAAATTATAGTATCTAGGCTGGTAGCTCAGTAAGCAGTGAATGATATTTTAAATCCAGTGAAATTTTTATTGAGACAATTTTAGATTCAGTTATAGGAAATAATACATAGATACATGTTTCCCCAATGGTAACATTTTACAAAACTATATAATAGCACAACTGTGTATAATAGCACAACTGTAGCATAAAAGCATAACAATGCTTATACACTTCACATTTCCCCAGTTCTACCTGTACTCATATGTGTGTGTATTTATTTAGTTCTACACAATTTTATCACACATATAGGTTCATATAACTACCACCATTCCTATCAATTTTACACATACCACAAACCACAAGTCAGAATACTCAACAATAAAAGCATGGAAGACTTTGCCCAAATTACCAACAATTTGAAAAATACAAATTCTATGTATTTATTCTTTATTGCATGGAATGGGGGGGAAATACCATTTTCTCACAACTTCCTCCATTTTTTATTTCTAAAAGATACAATATATATACTAAAAATTTGTTTCACATGAAATAAAGCAAAAAAGATGCCTTTCAATCCTCCAGGAGACTACAGACATAGACTTCCTGAAAACAATAAAACAAAACAAAACTTAGTAATTTTTAAATCTTGCCAAGTTTGCTGCATTAAGTTTTTTTGTATAGAATTTCAACTCATGCACATTTGAAGTTGAGAATACACTGAATCCATAAATCTGAGGAAACTATCCTATCTTAAAGAGAAATATTAAATTACTACTTAGTACCTGATTATCTTTTATCTTCTAAATAACTTTTACAGGCCTTCTTAAATTCTCTACTTTTGAGGGTAGAAGAAGAGAAGAGGAAGTTTAGTGATTTATTTATTTTCCTCCAAAAAAAACCTTCTAAAGTTATTTGTTTAGCCACATATCTCAGGTAGAGATTTTTATTCTTACAAAATGAGTATAGTATAGATAGCACTGCCCAAAACATATTGAATTGTTTACAGTTATAGTTGATTTCCTATTTACTATGTTCTTGAAAACAAACTCCAAATGTGTGACACACACACATACACAGAGGGAGTATTATTCAGTCACAAAAAAGAAAAATATCCTCCCACTTGTGACAACATGGATGGGCCTTGGGGGCATTATGTTAAGTGAAATAAGTCAGACAGAGAAAGACAAATACTGTACAATCTCACTTACACATGGAATCTTAAAAAAAATCCAAAACCTGAACATATAAAGTACTGAGAATGTAATGTACAGCATGGCTAGTAATATCGTGCTGCATATTTGAAAGTTGCTAAATAGACAATCTTCTCATCACAAGAAAAAAAATTTTGTAAGTATGTGAGGTGATGAATGTTAACTAGACTTACTGTGATCATTTTGCAATGTATACATTTAATAAGTGAGCATGCTGTACATCTGAAACAAATATAAAGTTATATGTCAATTACATCTTAAAAAAAAAAGGATTTACACCAAAATATTAACATTGATAATACCTGAGCCATGAATTTAAGGGTAATATTTATGTATTTCTGTTTTCCAAATTTTCTTCAACAAACAGGTACTAATTTTATAAGCAGGAAAAGTATTTTTAAAGAAATACTAATGAGATAATTTTCTGCCTATTAAAATAGCAAAGATATTTTAAAAGAATAATTCCCAATACAGTAAGCAACTCCTCTGGAAACATATGTAAACCTCTTAAGTTTTTATACCTTAAACTGGTTTATACCTTAAAAAATCCAATTGCTAGGAATCTACTGTAAGGAACTATCTTAAATTTAGAAAGCCTTCATGTATAAAGTTGGCCATCTTAGTGCTCCTTTCAGTAATATACTATCACAAGTAATCTATTCAATATTATGACAAATGGTTACATTATGGTCTCTAGTTGAACAAAATATCATAGTTATGGAAGCAATGCTTACAAAGATTAATAATTTGGAAAATGCTCATAATTTGTTAAAAATAATCAAGATATAAAACAGTATATGCAATATTATTATAATAATAATTATAAACTACTCCTAACCCTGAAATTCAAAGATTTACAAAAAGAAAAAAAAAAAATTGAAAGGAGGACTTCCCTGGCGGCACAGTGGTTCAGAATCCGCCTGCCAATTCAGGGAACATGGGTTTGAGCTCTGGTCCGGGAAGATCCCACATGCTGTGGAACAACTAAGCCCGTGAACCACAACTACTGAGCCTAAGCTCTAGAGGCCATGAGCCACAACTACTGAAGCCCGCGCACCCAGAGCCTGTGCTCCGCAACAAGAGAAGCCACCACAATGAGAAGCCTGCGCAGCACATCAAAGGGTAGCCCCCACTCGCTGCAACTAGAGAAAAGCCCGTGCACAGCAAGGAAGATCCAATGCAGCCAAAAAAAAAAAAAAAAAGGAAGATTGAAAGGAAATAATCACTACGGTGTTTGGTTTTAAGACTGGAGAGTGTTTTTGCCTCACTGTACTTCTTTCTACTTTCTTTAACAAACATAACTGCTGCTAATAATAAAAAATTCATAATAGAATAGAAAATGTACATATAATTTTCTAAGATTATAATATACATGTCTGTGTGTTTATAATATATATTTATGTTATACCATGTGGGGATACTGTACTTTTCATAGAAATAGATTTAAATGGTTGCTTGAAATAACAAATCAAATATGCCTTAAGTTTAAGAAAGATGAAAGACACCATATTATTATTAAAAGCACTGTACAAATATCTTGAGTATGTAAATGTTCTAATATTAGTAGCTAATGAAGAACAATGGTGACACAAAAGATGGCTCAATGCTATGTCTCTAACATTACTGAAATCAAATTTTATCTAATCAGAAGCAGGACACAGTATTTCCTCTTTATTATTTCCTGGTATTACAATATCTAAAATCAAACACAAGACAAATATCTGGTCAATTTTTCTTTCCTTTTTTTTTTTCAAGAAAGAGTAAAGAGAAAATACTGAGAGATCAAAAATACAATTCAGGGAAAAAAGTCAAGCCTATGCAATTTTCAAGTCTATGCAATTTTCAATAAAGTAAGTCATGAATTTCCTAAGGATAGTACATAAAGACAGCTTTCAGAGCAGTAGTCTGCAGGCGAACTGTTCACTGCAAAGTTGTTTAATCTAAATGAGTTGCAGCTGTTTTATAAAATGCAGATATAAATTTTTCTTTAAAAAAAAATCACCATATGTAGCAACATGCCCCACTCCTGTACAGCAATTAGCATAGTGTGCCCCTTTAGATGAGGTATATATGTTCCAGTTCGACCTAGTTTCCACTATTGCATGTTAGCCGTTACCATTTATCATCTACTTGACCTCTTGCATTCACCTCACCTGCCTGACTCTCTAAGTATTTCATACTTAATATCATCTACTTTATTTATAATGAAAATACTTTTAAAGATAATCAGCAAAGTTAATAAGCTCACTGAAAAAAGAGTACACAAAAATGCATGAAATACTGACTTTTAACACTTTTATATACATTCTTCCACTTTCTTCTAACCAGATAGAATTACAATATGTTGTTTTAAATGTTTATCAACACTATCAGTCATTTTTGTGTGTCAACAATATATAATGTAACAAAATTTCAAAATATTAAATGCCAGGATGTATAAACTTCTGCAACAAATGTATTTCATAAAAATATCAGAGAGATGTAACAAATTCATAAGTAAAAAGTTTAATCTTGTAGTTTCATACATAAAATAATTTCCATATTCACCCTAAAGTAACATGAAGGATTGGGGGGGCAGGAGAAGGACACAGGCAACTAATTATTAAAATATATAGTAAAGAACATGGTATTTGTAATTAGGCAATAAATAATGCAGTGACTTTATTACATTCAAAGAATTACCTGCAAGTTTCACACAGTATGAGGGAGTCAGCATAGCATTTGGTCTTGAAAAAGGAGACAGTAAATACTTTTAACTATTAAGATGACAAGCGGGTCTTTGACATTTCTGATTCCCTTGGCTAATTCCTAAGTGTCCTTAAAAATTTAACATAGCCAGAGTACACTCTGGGAATTTCACCCCAACTCTCTAAAGTTCAAATGATTCTCATTTGTTCAATTTTATTTTCATTATCATAAACTTGTCTGTAAACTCCTTGAACTCAGATCCTTTATATCTTCAACACCAAGCATAATGTCTGGCCCAGGACTACATTACCAAAGAGAATGCGAGTTAAGGCATGAGCAGAAGCTGACTCTTACTCAGTACCTTTTCTCCCATATGTACTGCTTCTCACCTGGGGTATCGCTAATACGTATCTGTAGTTAGTAAATCTTCTCGGCCTATTCCACAGTTGAAATAGAGCCTGTTTTCTAGATCTGCCTTCTAGGGCTGCATTCTATTAAGTGTCTATTTTCTTTTCTTTTTCTTTTCTTTTTCTTTAAACAGAATCCACTATAAGAGAGAACATCTTCAGTTCAAAACCAAGAAACAAAGATGGGAAGTTCTCATTTGCTTAAGTTTAATAAAAAGGTAACAATTTTCATATAAGTCTTCCACCTCTAAGTGCAATCATATTAAGTTTAACTAAAACTATAGCAGATCTTGAAGATTACTTTCAAAGATGGCAATCTAACATTCACATTTTACATTCATTCTTTACCCTACCTTAATGTAATTCACAGATATCAAATGAGAAATAAAAATGGATTGCTTAGGGCCTCCCTGGTGGCGCAGTGGTTGGGAGTCCGCCGGCCGATGCAGGGGACACGGGTTCGTGACCCGGTCCTGGAAGATCCCACATGCCGCAGAGCGGCTGGGCCTGTGAGCCATGGCCGCTGAGCCTGCGCGTCTGGAGCCTCTGCTCCGCAATGGGAGAGGCCACAACAGTGAGAGGCTCACGTACAGCAAAAAAAAAAAAAAAGGATTGCTTAAAAAACATATAAATACGTTTACGAATGCCAGATTGCTAGCGAATTAAGTACAAACAAGTTAACGTTCTGAGGTGTCAGAAAAAGGCAACTATGATTTTCTGCACAGTTCCCCTTCCCTTAGTGTCTCTGACAGTCACAAACCTCGGCCCTGGTAAAAACATAATTAACAGTGTATAGGCACTTACTAAATTCTTAAATCCTTCAGAAAACTTAAAGAGAAAAGCTGTAATGTTGCCAAGTTCGGTGTTAAATAACTTTTTGCACATACAATCCGAGAGACATAAAAACATAGTACAACTATGTTAGTATCAAACTAAAAAGCATATACTAACTGGGAAATCTCTCCTAATATTAATATTTTACCTGCAATTATCTAAACTCTTATAATGATAAATTTATCCCACTGTCTTCAGAGATAGAATCACACCATACTAGCAATGTTATTCAATCCAGTAACTCCTAAATAAAAAATTACACACTTTTGAAGTTTGAAGGAAATAGACCGACAACAAGAGGATTAGAGAGCTGAAGTGACTGGCTCAAAGTCACAAGCGGAAAAAAAAGCAAGAGTTTTCTGGTTAAGACTACAGCTTCACTGTAGAAACTAGCTTATTCACAAATATTCCAGATAATGGCTTACATAATTTTACTTTTCGCCATATGACCACAATGCAATGATTTAATTATGAATAAACCTTAAGCTAAACTTTATGCACAATTAACAGTAGCTTAATATATAAACCACCAGGCTTCATGCAAGTTAAAAATCAGTAAGTTAAGGAATCATTCATGTTTTAAAAATAACCATTTTAATACCAAAAACTGATATCTATACTTATAAGTATGATGTATTTAAATTTCAAGAACAAGTTGGTAATCATTTTAAGCCACTACTCAAACTAAAACAAAGTGCAAAAGATTTCCTGTCTGGCACTAAAAGTACACAGTCCCAGTTACAGTAGTTTTCTCTGAGTATTTATAATACTGCCTGTAGTAAATTTCAAGATGCAAGATTTGCCTTACGGAAATAAAAATATACTGAGTTCTTATGGAGACCATATATGCATTAAACCAGGTCAAAACTACTGACACTTAATCAAATGAAAACTGAAACTTGGTGCTAACATTAAAGAAAAAAAAAGAATACCACTACGTAGCAGTGAGATTTGCAACAAACTCTTCAAATCACTTGAATTAATTATCTATGGATTCCAACTACATAGAACAAGTAAGACACCTTAGTACATCAGGATACAGAAAATAAATACATTATAATTCTGTTGAAATATCCTACAAATAAAACAAGGGAGGGCTTCCCTGGTGGCGCAGTGGTTGAGAGTCCGCCTACCGATGCAGGGACACGGGTTCGTGCCCCGGTCCGGGAAGATCCCACATGCCGCGGAGCGGCTGGGCCCGTGAGCCATGGCCGCTGAGCCTGCGCGTCCGGAGCCTGTGCTCCGCAACGGGAGAGGCCACAACAGTGAGAGGCACGCGTACCGCAAAAAACAAAAAAAAAAACAAGTGAAAACATCAACATGTATTTCTTAAAAGAGCAACATTTGAAGAATTAATTGTAGACGGTGTCCTGATAACTAATAGAACTAGTTCATCCTACTATGAAGGCTACCAATTTCCCTTTGCATAGAGAATGGATGCTGCCTGATAGGAAATCTAATTTAAAATATGCAAAATATCAAAAGGACAAAGACTTTACTTAGAGGCCACCGATACTGCAAGACCACAATAACAAGCACGAAAAATCAAAGGCCTTTAACAAGTCACAATAAATGTAATGTATGCTCTTCACTTCACTCATTCGAGAACTGCGGAGTTCTTTTACACAGAATTTTAGCAACCTTGAATATTTATGTTTGAAGCCCACAGCTGACGACAGTCTGAAATCAAATATCATTTTATAGATGAAATAAAACTGAGGTTCAGAAAGATGGCTGGGCCAGAAACAAATTCAAAGTTTCTGACCTAGGAAGTTTGTATACTTGTACACCCCCGACAACAGGGGAAGACAAGAGTCTGCAAAGACAAAAACCTTAAAAAGGTAAACAAAGTTAAAAAACAAAACGAAAAAAGCACAGAATCCTACTACAAGACAAGACCCATTAGGATCTCAGGACACCAACAATCCTGAATCATAAATTAGAAAACGTTAATGTAAAATGAGCTCTGTTTAAAACGGAAGTATGTAATTTCTTATAGAAATAATCCCATCTCAAATGGTTAAACTAAAAAAAGGAGGAGCGGAAGATAAAATGAGTAAATTTTCAGATGCATAAAAAATATGAATGAGAGAAACAGCCATTCTAGATATCTGTGCCTTTTCTGGATTTTATACCTCGATTTCAGAAAATGTTTACGCACCCCCTCTCCATCGTCTATACAAACCGGGAAATTACTGGCCATTCTTTGCCAAACGGTAATCCAAAGACTCACTCACATACTTTTCTATCTGGTTTTAAGCTACTGAAAATTAACGTACCCCCTAATTTCCAAAACACTTAATTGTTCCTTGGTTGTATTTCTGATCACCATTGCAAAAACTTGGTCCTGCATAAAGTACTGTTGTGGGAAAAAATTAAAATCAATGCACAAAATGGTGCTTTTGTAACATTTCCAAAACGACTGAGTTTTCCATTCCCGCAGACCTCGATTCAACACCTTAAAAGACTAAAGACGAAGCAAATTCGCACACTTCCCCCAAGGCATATGGAGCTCCGAAGCCATCACCCTCCTCCAAAACAGTAACTATCTCCTCCAAAAAGGCCTGCACTGCTCACAGCTCCTCGGAACCGTGGGAGAACTTGGAGTCAGCTCTGGGATGAGAAGCGAAGAGCCTGGATTTGAGTTTCAGGAGAACTAAGTGGCCTGTGTCACTTCACCACGCACGATAACCGGCTGTGAGAGGAAAAGGTCGGAGTACGGGGAAAGCCTAGCCTAATCTTAAACCCTGAGATCCTGGCTCCTCGCCTGCCACTCTCCAACCCTAATCTGACAGGACGGAAGGTAACGCGTCCCACTTCCCCACCTGTCCTCCCACCTACCCCGCATTCGTGCTTAGTCTTACGATTTTGAAGCATCAAAATCACCCCGGCTCCCTAGAGTTCAGGCCACCATCGCTGCCGCCATATTACAGCTTGTGCGGCAAAATGCGTCAGGGAGGGAGGTGTGCGCCCGAGCGGAGAGGGCGGGGGCGGGCAGGGGGAAGGCCGTTTCCCAGGCCCGTGAGGCACGGTTAGAAGGCCGCAAGAGCTACAAAGCTAGCGTCACGATCCTCGGGGGCCGCCTCTGGCACCTGGCAGCCCCGATACCTCGAGGGGAAGACGGTAAAGTCGGTCTGGGCCTATCGCGTCGGCTCCGCCCCTCTCCTCGGGCCCTTCCCGCTCTCGTACCCCGGCACTGCTGCAAAGGACGCCACCAAAACAACACGGGCCCCGCGCCACCTACTTGCACTAGTACACTCTCCTCTTCCCGGGGTCCAGTCCTTTAAATCGCTTCAAATCTACCGCCGCCAGAAAAGGCGCTAAGGCCAATGACCGCCTCCCTCCCCCCAGTCCCGGCGTGGAGGGAAAGCGTCGCGCCGGAAGTACGTCACGGCGCGGCGGACCTCGTCTTTGGGTGATCCGTCGCTCGCGTCATCTCGCTCTCCCCGGAGTTCTAGGATTTTGGTGTCTGTTAAATGCCTGGTTTATAGGTAACTTAATGCTTTCTGTGTGAGTTGATTGAGAGCGTTTGTAACCGCCATGTCGTTCGTGAAATGAAGTGCTTCACTTAATAAACATTTATTGATCCTCTGCCAGGTTACTGGGAAGGAGACCCTACCTTCAAGGAGCTTCCAGTTCAGCTTCCAGTTAACGCTATGACACAAGTTCTAAAAAACAGATGAACAAAGTGCTATTTGACAAAAGGAGGAAATTATAAAGGGCATTGACGCTCTTTGTTGTCGTTTTTAAATATTCTCACAGCAGCCCCATGATACAGATTATTATCCTTGTTTCACAGGTAAAGAAATTGAGGCTCAGGGAAGATAAGTGCCTCCCTCCCAGACACACTGTTCCTAAATACCAGAGCAAGGCTTTGACTGCAAATCCAGTTCTCCAGGGGAGACCACTATTTTGGGACATATATTGTTATTTAATTGTTTTAACAGGCTGAGAATCCCTAGATTTTTAGAATTAATTCCCCCTGCTATTCAGGGGAGTTGGCGGCAATCATTGTGGAGATATGGGGTGAGTGAGTTTTAAAGGAAACAGCTGAGAGGACTTAGATTTTACTACTATATGAAAAGAACGTTAAGTTACAATCATTTAAATTTTTCACTCATTTACCTGAGGTAAATTAGTAATTATCAACAGCAGTCGGGCATGTGGTACTCTTAAGCATCTTCACCAATTTTATTAAATGTAAAACTGAGAGGACAATCCCTGCCACTTTTAAGCCATTGCCTTCATTGCAGGGGAGCAGCAGCATACTCCTCTTTGAACAGTTCAGAGGTTGTATGAATTTACACTTTGCAGTGAGGAGGGGAATTCTACAATACCTTTAAAAATCCGATTTATACTGAGCACTCTATTAAGATAGATTTTTTAAGCGTTGGTTTGTTTGACTTTTGTTTGTTCAGCTTCCTTCAGAATATATTTTTATTTAGCTATGATATACAGATTTATTTTTTAGATTTCTACTTACTAGTAGAGGTAATGTGTGGCATTGCTGTGACATTGGTGTATTCTCCCTCTTTCCCACCCATTCAGTCAGAGACATCTTTGAGGATATATTACAGATTATACCATAGTTAACATTTTGAGGTGTACAAAGGTGACATTACTAATCTTGTTCTAGGATATACTATCTTCCTAGAGAGATAGACTTTCATATGAAGTGACTGAAGAATTATTTAACAGTAAAATATTAATAAGTACTTAGATATAGTATACATTATAAATGGTCAGATTTTAGAAGATTCTTGAAAGAAGTTTTGAAGCAGCATTACAAATGTCCATTCAAGGACTGGTGGCTGGTGCTGAACTATGACAAAGTTTTCACTGCTCTTTTCTTAAGAAGAGTTGTTTTGGGGGGAATTCCCTGTTGGTCCAATGGTTAGGACTCAGCACTTTCACTGCTGGGGCCCCAGGTTCAATCCCTGGTCGGGGAACTAAAATCCCATAAGCCATGTGGCACAGCCAAATAAGTTGTTCATTTTAATTAAGCATATCACCTTTTCTCAGATGGTTATAGAATGTGATAGTTGTTTTCTTTCTCTAGATGTCCTTACTTGGACAAATGAAAAATTGGCATGCTTTGCTGGGTCTCAAACATGTTGAAATTTCATTGGTCTGTGAAATCCAAAACTTTCCCAAATAGATTTGACATGGATTTATTGTTCCAAGAAGGAAGATGTTGCAAGTAACAGGAAGTATTATTATCTACATTAATATGGTGGCTTAAAGAACAAAGGATTTATTTCTCTCTTACATAATAGATCTGAGGTGAGAGGGCCAGATCAGAGGGCAGCTTTACTCCATATAGTCAGTCAGGACCTTGAGTTCCTTATATATAATTCCAATATGCTCCAGGGCCTTGACATTGCATGATTAGAGTGTATTGCCGGTTTCAGGCAGCAGGAAGGAAAGAGGTTATGTCTTAAGGCCTAAACAAGGAAGTAATACATGCCACTTTGCCTCTAATTCCATCAACAAAAACTTAATCGCAGGGCCAAACCCAATTACAGGGTACTGAGAAATGTAATATTGACATGTGTCCAGAAATAAGACAAGGCCAAACCCAATTACAAGGTACTGAGAAATGTAATATTGACATATGCCACAACTACTGAGCCTGTGCTCTGGAGCCTGTGAGCCACAACTACTGAGCCCGTGTGCCACAACTACTGAAGCCCATGCACCTAGAGCCCATGCTCCACAACGAGAGAAACCACTGCAATGAGAAGCCTGTGTACCACAATGAAGAGTAGTCTCCGCTCGCCGCAACTAGAGAAAGCCTGTGCTCAGCAACGAAGACCCAACACAGCCAAAAATAAAATAAATTTATTTTTAAAAAAAGATAGTTATTTGCATAATTAGTTTATGTGACCATTTCGTACTATGAGCACACAAGATTTGCTGTGATGTTGCTAGCATTTTGAAATACATTTAGACTCTAGCACTTGTAGGTGAACTGTTAGAATCACTTTTATTAACAGATTTAAAGAAAAAAATTTTATAATCATCAAAACGGGGTTTCAAGGGGTGACTTCAGTTAGACCTTAACTTACTTTGTATGCCTTTTTTAAGGGTAGGATTTTAAAATTAAAGTTTAACATATATTCATAAACCGTAAGTATAGCTTCATACATTTTTACAAAGTGAACATACAGGTGTAACCTCCACTAGATTAAGACATAGAGCAATATCAGCATCCTGGAAGCGCCCCTCATACCCGCACCCCATAATGCTATCACCCCACCCCTATCAAAGATAATTTCTATTTGGAGCTCCATCAGCATATATTAGTTTTCTCTGTTTTAGAAACTTATATAAATGGAATTATGCATATATATTCATTTGTGGCTGGCTTTTTTGCTCAATGTTGTGTTTGTGAGATTATCAATATTGCTGCGTGCAACAATAGTTTGTTATTTCTAATGTCCGTATAGTACTCCATTATATGTGTGTATTAGTTGGGGTTCTCCAAAGAAACAGAAGGAATAGGATATAAATAGGAAGTGAATTATTATGAAGAATTGGCTCACGTGATTATGAGGGCTGAAAAGTCTCACAATCTGCTGTCTGCAAGCTAGAGACCCTGGAAAGCCTGTGGTATAATTCCAGTCCAAGTTCCAGATCCAGGGGAGCTGATGGTGAAAATCTCAGTCCAAGGGCGGAAGACCAATATCCCAGCTTAAGCAGCCAGGCAGGAAGCAGAAGGGGTGAATTCCTCCTTCCTGTGCCTTCTTGTTCTATTAAGGCCCTCCATGGACTGGATAATGCCCACCCACATTGGGGAGGGCAGTCTACTTTACTGAGTCCACCAGTTCAAATGCTAATCTCATCCAGAAACACCCTCACAGACACACCTAAAAATAATGTTTAATCTGGGTAGCCCGTGGCCCAGTCAAGTTGACACATAAAATTGACCATCTCAATGGGTATTGAATAATTTATCCATTCTACTTTAGATGGATATTTGTGTTGTTTTTGAGTTTTAGATATTATGAATAAAGTTTTTATGAAATTCTTGAATCTGGTATATTGGAGCACATATATTTTGCACGTACGTTGGAAATATACCTAGGAATGGAATTGTTGGATCTTAGGGTGTGGATAGAATCAGCTTTGGTAGATACTGCCAATGAGTTTTCTGAAGTGGTTGTACAATATTTTTGTTGGATGTGCCTTTTTTTTTTTTTTTTTTTTTGTGGTGGTACACGGGCCTCTCACTGTTGTGGCCTCTCCCATTGCGGAGCACAGGCTCCGGACGCGCAGGCTCAGCGGCCATGGCTCACAGGCCCAGCCGCTCCGCGGCATGTGGGATCTTCCCGGTCCCAGGCACGAACCCGTGTCCCCTGCATCGGCAGGTGGACTCTCAACCACTGAACCACCAGGGAAGCCCTGTATGTGCCGTTTGATTCCAATATTAGTGAGAACTCTCGTTTGCAAATAAGAGATGCCCAGCTTGAAGTAGTTTAGGTAAAATTGGGAATGTATTGCTTCGTGAAACAAAACTGTTGGACACTGTGGTGGCTTTAAAAACATGTCCGTAAGTTCCTTAATGTGACTTTCTTCCAACGACTAAGGCAAAGTGATAGTTTGTGATTTTTGGAGACTATGTCATAAAAGCATTTTGATTTCCTCCTTGCTGTGTCTCTTGGATCAGTCACTCTAGGGGAAATCAGCTGCCATGTCTTTAAGACACTCAAGCAGACTATGGAGAGGCACGTGTGGCAAGAAACAGGCTTCCTGGAAAAAGCCATAGAGGAATTGAGGCCTCCTGCCAACAGCCATGTGAGTGAGCCATTTAAAAGCAATCCTCTGGCCTCAGTCAAGCCTTCAAATAACTCCAGTCCTTGTTGACATCTGAGTTCAATTACATTAGAAATTGTGAGCCAGAACTGTTTTGCTAAGCTACTTCTGAATTTCTGATCCACAGAAGCTGTGGGATAATAAATGTTATTTTAATTCATTAAGTTTGGGCATGTATTTTATACAGCAGTGTATAACCAATACAGAGAAGAAAAAATAGATGGAATGTCACAGAACTTCTCTCTTGTCTAATTCTACTTACCTGTTTTTTGGCTTCATTCTCTTGACTGACTCCTTCAAGAGGCTATGTCACATCTTGATAAACGGAGTCTCTGCCAGCTCCAATTATAAAATGCCAGAAAAGTCTTCGATTAGCATTGCAGTGACAGCCCCAAAATTTGTGCCTTCCCTTACAAAGTGAGAGGGAAATGTTTGTGCCTCCTCTTACAAAGTGAGGGATGTCACTGGGAAATGTTTGTGCCTCCCCTTACAAAGTAAGGGGTGTCACGGGGAAATGTCTGTCCTGCTAAGAACTACGTTTTCTTGCATCTGAGTAAGCATATGCAAATACTTCTCATCAGTGGAAAGTGCATGAAAATGATGTGTATTACATCCAGACCAAGATATTTATGAAGTGCTGTGCTTTTCCATGTCATGTCTTCCTGTTTCCATCAGCTGGATCCAGAGTATTTTAAAGGCTTGGGAGATTATTGAAGAAGCCTAGTTTCCTCAATCTCTGTGTGGAGAAAAGTCCTCCACTGACCAGGGATACCCACTGGTTGTAATGTGATGTGATTGAGAAATCAAATTCTGTAGATTAAGCCATTGATATTTGGCTTTATTCATTACAGCAGACATCATTACCCATCTAATAGGCCAAGGTCCTGAAGCAGTACTAGATTTGGTCTAGCCTGGGTCATTTCAGTCTTTGTAGTGTGAAGTATGGAGTCTGATACCAAGAGAGGGGAAGTAGATGGGCTGGACTACTACAATTAACCTACATTTACTTTAGAACAATGAAAATTTTTGCTTCTACCCATAGATAAATAAATTATTGTTCTAATTTTCTATTATATTGCCAATATTATGTTTAACTTTTTAAAAGTGCATGTCTATTGTCACATATATTTCACAGTAATATAAACAAGTGTATAAATTTGAACATTCTATAGAGGTTTAAAATTTAATAATTGCCCCTAACCCTTTCCAATTACATTTCCTTGAGGTATCCAATGATACTCTTCTCTATTCCTATTGTAACATTAAAAAATCCTTATTTAGTATCCTTCCTCCCTCCCTTTGACAAAAATGAGATCACATCACACATATTACATGTTATGCTTTCATTTGAATAAAAGTATAGGGGCTTTCCTGGTGGCGCAGTGGTTGAGAGTCTGCCTGCTGATGCAGGGGACATGGGTTTGTGCCCCAGTCCGGAAGGATCCCACATGCTGCGGAACGGCTAGGCCCGTGGGCCATGGCCCCGGATCCTGCGCGTCCGGAGCCTGTGCTCTGCAATGGGAGAGGCCACAGCAGTGAGAGGCCCGCGTACCACAAAAAAAAAAAAAAAAACAACAAAAAAAAAACCATGAACATCTTTGATAGCTATACAGCATTCCATAGTATGGGCATACTATAATTTATCTAGTCATTCTCCTATTGGACATTTCAGTTGTTTCAAGTTTTGGTTAATATAAACAATATTGTAATAAACATCCTTTTATGTATATCCTTATATATTGAAGTTTATAAATCTGTAGGAAAGATAGCCAGAGGTGAGATTATTGGGTCACATAATACATACACTTTGGGCCTCTCACTGTTGTGGCTTCTCTGGTTGCGGAGCACAGGCTCTGGACACACAGGCTCAGCGGCGATGGTTAACGGGCCTAGCCGCTCCGCGGCATGTGGGATCTTCCTGGACCGGGGCACGAACCCGTGTCTGCTGCATCGGCAGGCGGACTCTCAACCACTGCACCACCAGGGAAGCCCCTTGAACATTTTTTCACGTGCCTGTGGCCATGGAGTAAGGTCTATTGAAGTCCTTTGCCCATTAAAGAAATCTTTTTGTCATTGGGTTGTAGGAGTTCTTTACATATTCTAAATATTAATCCCTGCAGATACATCAATTGCA